AAAGCACCATTTCTTGAAAAAACTATCCTTCCTCCATTGAACTGCTTTTGCACCTCTGTCAAAAATCAATTGGGCATATTTGTGTGAGTCTATTTCTGGGTTCTTTATTCTGTTCCATTGATCTATGTGTCTATCCCTCTGTCAATACCATAGTCCTGATTACTGTCACTAAAAAGGAAGTCTTAAAATAGGGTAGAGATATTACTTCCAATTCATTCTTCTTTTTTAAAAATCGTTTTATCTATTTTGGTTTCTGTGCCTTTATGTATAAATTTTAGAACAAGCCTGTCTGTATCTATAAGAAATCTTGCTGTGATTCTGATAGGAATTGCATTAAACCTACAATCAATTTGAGGAGGACTGACATCTTTCCTATGCTCATTCTTCCAATCCATTAGTGTCTCTCCATTTATTTAGATCTTTAGTTTCTTTCATCAGTAGTTTGTAATTTTCAACATACAGGTCTTCTACATGTTTAATTAGATTTATGTCTAGTCACTTCATTTTTGGGGAGAGTGACTAACAATGGTGTTATGTTTAACTTTGATCACTATATGATTATGGCTAATCTATAGAAATATGATTGATTTTCTATGTGTGTTTATCTTGTATTCTGTGATGTTTCTGAACTCACCCACTAATTAAAGAAGGGTTCTGTGTATGTGTGTGTGCGTGTGTGTGTATTCCTTGGGATTTTCTACACAGACAATCGTGTTATCTGAAAGTGGGGGCAGTTTTATCCCTTTCTTTCTAATCTGTATGCCTGTTACATTACTTTCTTGTCCTACTGCACTGACCAGGACACCCAGTCCTCTGTTGAGTAAGAGTGGTGAGAGTGAACACCCTCATCTTGTTCCCAGTCTTAAGGGGAAAGCATTCAGTCTTTTACTCTAAGTATGATGTTAGTGGTAAACTTGGGGTTTTCACCTTTAGTCAAGTATCAAAAAGGAAGCTTTCTGAACATAAAGTTTAAAGAAACATACATCTGAGAATAAGTAGAACCTGTGTTGCTTTTCTTGACTAGTATCTACCTCCTTCCTTTATACAACAGTGCTTTTTCTCTCAGAGAAAGACAACCTTCCCTCACCATTTATACAGCTCCATTGCAATGGGCATGTGAGTAAGTTCTGGTCAATTCATCTATCCTGGCCTCTGGACCAAGTTAGTCCAGTAAAATCCAAATAAGGAACTTTTTTCGAATGATTACATAAAAGTTCTCTTTCCGCTAGACTTATAGATCAGGGATCAACAAACTGTGTATGGCTCATGACCCAAATCTGGCCAGCCATCTGTTTTTGTAAACAAAGTTTTACTGATACATGGCTATACCTATTCATTTACATGTTGTTGATGACAGCTTTTTAGCTACAGCAGCAAAGATAGTAGCTGCAACAGCAACCACATGGCCCACAAAGCCTAAAATACTTACTATCCGGCCCATTACAGAAAAAGGTTACATCTTATTATTATCTGTTCTTAATAATAAGATGTAAGATTGGAACAAATAGTAAGGAAGCATCTCACCACTCTATGAAAAGAACACGTTGGAAAATGAAGCCAATTCAAAAGAAGAAACCAACTGCAAATATTATGTAAGATCCCAGATTCAGATGGGTCGAAGACTATTAGACTCCAGTATTTTTCAGTCATGTAACCCAATAAATCCAGCTTTTCCCCAAGTTCGAATTGGGTTACCTACATTTGAATTAAAATAATTCAAATTTACTACATAGACAACATCCATAATGCTTACTGTAGGAAGAAAATTCTAATTTTTTCCTCCATTATATGTCCACCAACACCATAAAGACATTCAACATTTCTTTAGACTAGCGTATGATTGTATATTAAAAACTATGATTTAGCCCTAAAACTAAATTTAATATTTAAAAATGAAATGTTGCAAAATCAACTGATTTGGGGCTCATTTAGCTTTTCTTTGATTTTCAACCAACCATCCTAAGGTATTAGTGAACAATGAAAGAACAAAAAAAATAGAAACTAAACAACCCCCCCAAAAAAACAAAAAACCACCAACACCAAATAATCCATCATAGAACAAACTGAGATAGAAGTATAAAACAGAAGATAGTTGCCACTATTAACATCTCCCTGAAATAAGGCAACCACACTAACACCAACTAGACAAAGAGCTAGGTAGAGAAATCCAAAACTCCCAGTGGGACAGATTTAACTAATTAGGGAGATGGTGATTAAATCTGGAGCTGCTAATTGTCTACTGGGCATATATCTCTAGTAATGTCCCCTAGAGGCTTTCAGCAATGAGAGCCAAAATTAAGCCTAGTATTACTGTCAATTACATAGACATCATTTGTCTATATTTATCCCTCTCTTTAGGAAACTAAAAAGCACACGGAAGTGTGGTTTTCAGTGCAAGATATATGTTCCTATGAGGAAATAATTTTATATCATGTTTAGAAACAAAATTATTTTGTGTTTAAACTTGTTTTAATTTGTACATTCTGGAGTAAGATGTTTCTTTCAACAGCACACTTTCCATCTGTACAGGCCAGATGTTAATCTACAGGAAAACTGAAGTGGTTAGTAAGAAGATCAATTATACACAGACAGAGAACAAATATCTAAGTGGCAGGGAAAGAGGCAGGAAAGGCTTAAAATTGAATTAATTGGCCAAGCAGTTTTAGAACTCTGACTTATTGGGGACAGGGGGAGAGATGTCAGTAGGTTTTGGTGGGGTTTTTTTGTTGTTGTTATAATTTGGCTCTTTTTTATGCATACCAAGAATAGAATGACGTAACAGGATTTTTCTCCCTGGGCGTTTCCTCTCCTATAAGTTGAAGAATCATTCAAGGCAATGAGTGAAAGTATTGTAAAAATGAACTGAGAATTCTTACAAGGCAATTTGAAATTTTATCTCCATTAAAGATGAAAATCGAATATGTCTAGGATTAGACATGGGTCAAATTCTAGCTTTGCCACTAGGATGGGGACTGCCAACTATTCACAGTATCCTTTCTCCTCCTCTTCTTTGAAATAATAACATGCCCGGGGTCCTGGCTGGGCTCATGACTGCCTAGGTACAACCTAGATTTCCCAGTCTGCTTTGGAGATAGATGTGGCTGTACTATGTTTGAGCCAATGGAAGTCATGAGTGCATCTTCTGAATCCTTCAAAATACTTTTGTCCTCATTTTTCTGGCGGGAAAATGGCAATCACTGGAGCAATGTAGGAAGCCATGGGCTGAGGATGGCAGAATGACCCTATCAGGCATAGACTGCTTCCTTCTCGGCTCTAAGAGAGAAATACATTTCCCTATCTTCCATAAGTCACTGTTCTTTGGTGTCTCTCTGTTATAGCAACCTAGCCTGTAACCTACTAATACAGCCATTTACTATCTGTGCAACTTGGGGCAAGTTATTTAACCTCTCTAAGCCTCAGTTTCCTCACCTATAAAATGGAATCACAGCACTTATCTCACTAAGTACTAAAGGGAAATAAATGGGTTAAGAGATGTGATGTGCTTAATCCTGTGCCTAACATGCAAAAACGTGCTCAACAAATGGTAGATAATGCTAGCAAAAAGAAAGACCTACTTGGGAAGCTTCTTTCAAAGGCCTTTGACATCAAGCAGCTATTGTGCCCATAAAGCTCTAAAGGTAGAAATGTATATCTGGTTTTGAGGGTTTCTAGGGGTAACAACATATTCAGAGACAATGAGAGCTATCTTATATTTTAGCCCACAAGAAGAATGAAGATTAAACAACGCTTAATTACAGTTTAGCAAACTGTGCCTTAATCATCATTTAAATCTTTAAGAGACCTTGCTCTATGTCAAATGTCATATAATACTAGTTATTTCTTTACGCTTAGTTGATTGAGTTGAGTCCCATGTTTGTATAAAATATGACTGAGTAAAAAGGTACATTAATCTATGTTACCAGATCACCTCACCAGGGTAGACTGAGAAAGGGACACACAAATCAGCTGACATTATCCAGCTTGACGCATAGAGTTCTCCAGTCAGTGGAGCCCATGGCCTACTTCTTCCTTGCACACATTTCCTCCCTTTGGATAGTACCTTTGTATCAATTATTGGCCCTCTGGCATTGTAGATTCTTTTTCTCTTTTGTTGGTAGCACACGGTTAGATTGTACTTAGGATTTCTGTAACCTTGCGATTTGCTGAAATAAGGCAACCACACTAACACCGACTAGAGAAAGAGCTAACTAGAGAAATCCAAAACTCCCAGGGGGACAGATTTAACTAATCAGGGAGATGGTGATTAAAGCTGGAGCTGCTAATTGTGTACTGGGCATATATCTCTAGTAATGTCCCCTAGAGGCTTTCAGCAATGAGAGCCAAAATTAAGCCTAGTATTACTGTCAATTACATAGACATCATTTGTCTATATTTATCTCTCTCTTTAGGAAACTAAAGGAGTTGAGATCCTTGGAACTAAAATAAGGTGACTACAATGATGCCAGGGCTCTTATAGATTTTACATGTCACAAGATACAGAACAACTACAAGATTATACCACCCAGCGGAGGCCAGCATCTCTGAAATGGGAGCATGGATCACATTACCAGGCCCACCTCCCTCCATCCACCCTAATAATCTCCCACTGCTTATAAGACGAGATGAGTTACTACAGGAAGCTGAACCATAAGTCAATGATAAAAGATGTTGCATAACCTGTAATTTTAGCAGGCCAGACCAGACTCTGCCTCCTTCAATAGACCTGGGGACATTACACCTGTTTCTGCAAAGAGGGAGTTCTGGTGTAATGCTATGCAGAGTCCATGCCTTAGGATTGAGAGGCCGAAGCTCAAGAACTACATCTTTACAGAAGCAATATCAATATCCACAAACATAAACCTAGGAATAAAAAACCACTTCTGGTACATTGGTTTCAAAAACCCAAGACTTTAGAACAACAGCAAAAATCACTGCACTAGGGAAGCAACAAAAAACTCGGGGCCTTTATTCTTGCTCTACTTCCCTCAATTGTTACTTACAGGTTCCCGGCCATCCATGGCTTCCATCCAGAGCCTCCGGTCCTCTTCCGACAATGCTTGCATGGTGATAACCCCTGGCCTGCAGAGAAGGGAGACACATGGATATGAAATCAATGCCACATGTAGAGACATTGGTGAAGGTGAATTTTAAACTCAACTAAGTCAGTGGTTGCTAGGGTTAACAACACCAAGAGGGGCACAACACTTGGCTTTTCTAAGCCACCTTCTAGTCTCAGAAAGGAAGGACCAAATTCCTCTGTCAGTCCATCTACCTCAGAGAGGCAGAAACACGGAAGATATGACCCTATTTTACAGGTAAGAGACATATAGAAGTGATTCCTTTAGACACTGTTCCTTGAAATTTTATTCTAGTCCTCAAAATGCTTAACAGAATATTTTACTTGCAGTAGAAATGCAATAAATATTTGTGGAAGTGAATGGAATCACTGGACTCAAAAAAGAGGGGAAAATATCCAAGCTGGAGGCATCCTTGTCTTCCAATATCTAGTCCAACGCTTCTAAACTGCTTCAGTCATGGTGAAGTTTTATGGTGGTCATCATCTGGTAGTTATGATTAAATGTGCATAATATTTTTAAAAAATAAGTACTTAATCATGTCAGGTGCTAAGTGCTTTATATGCATTAGATCATTTCACTCACTGAAATCTGCTTGCTCTCTAAAACTGAGTACAAACCTTCCAGAAGACATGCACACAATGTCAAATGGTATTTGTTCAGTTCCCATTACAAATGGCACTCCACAAGAAAAGAGACTGTGCCATAAAAATGACCGTGGGAGAAGTGGTTAGAAGCCTTCAATGCCCATTAAAGCAGGCATTCTTTGCTTAAGGCGAGGATGGATCTTAGAGTGTCTCTAAACCACCTCCTCCTCTCCCTTAAATGTATGTGTGTTTTTCTGTAGAGACAATTCAAATTGTCTATCAGATTCTCAAAAAGAACTGCAGCCCTCAAAAAGTTAAGAATTGCTAGTTAAAACCATCCTCCTTAAAATTTGAGACAGCCTAAAAAGGAGGAAGAGGTCCACTGAGCAACAACTAACGTCCTATTCCTGTCTGAGTGCACAAACGCTGCTAATGATCCTACAACAATAGGTATGAAAACCACACAGGCTGAGCAACACCCTAAGCAGCACAAGCCGGGGCCCCATAAACACCCAAGCCTGTTAATTCTCACACGCCCATCATCTCTGCTTCTGGCTTATATCTATAGTTCCAACAAATATGCTAAACCTATTTGTGTTTAACATAATTTAAAAATCACATTTGATTCTTTTCATTAATCACCCCTCAACATCCCCTTAAAAAAAAATTTAGCTGAGCACGGTGGCTCACACCTGTAATCTCAGCACTTTGGGAGGCTGAGGTGGGTGGATCACAAGGTCAAGAGATAGAGACCATTCCAGCCAACATGGTGAAACCCGGTCTCTATTAAATCTACAAAAAATAGCTGGGCATGGTGGCCCACGCCTGTAGTCCCAGCTACTTAGGAGGCTGAGGCAGGAGAATCGCTTGAACCCACAGGTGGAGGTTGCAATGAGCTAAAACCATGCCACTTCACTACAGCCTGGTGACAGAATGAGACTCCATCTCAAAAAAAAAAATTTTAGAGCTCTGAGCATGTAAATACAGATGGGTTAGGGTTATAAGGGGCATCGGGATGGGAGTATGAATGTGTGAGGGTGTGAACGTGTTTGTGTGGGGGAGAGAGAGAGGTGGAAAGCATGCAAACGAGCAAGAGAAGGGAATGAGAAAAGGAGCAAGAGACAAAAAGATGAGTGTGGGTGTATGTGGGTGGGAGGAGGGGTGGGCAGGTACATGGTGGGCATGTTGATGACAGTGGGACCCTGATCCCAAGAGGGTAGTCATTCCCATGAAGATCATACTGGGACTGGCACCATCATACAAAGGTAACTCAGAAGATGGAATAACTCCTCTCTCCATGAGTATCTTCCAGGACTCTCCCTTGTCTTGTCAGAAATTCTCATTCTCAGACCCAACCAAGCGCCCACTTCTCACCATCAGCCCACTCAGTGTGGCAGACTCACTGGGTGTCTGCAGAGAGCTGACAGTGGTGGCTCCACAGAAATGACCCAGTGGCTTGAGGGCACAATGGATTGATTCCACCTTTCTAAAAACCAACCACAACATTTTAATAGCTTTGCAGCTACTGTCTATTGCAGAACGAAAAGCCTCTGCAGCTACTGTCTATTGCAGAACTCTCAAGTCCCTGGTTCTGGGTCTCTGAGTGTTGCTATAGGTGCTGCTCCTGTGCCACCTGCTTCAGAATTGGGCATTCCTCTTACATGGAGATTCCAGCCCAATCCCACTCTACTGAATCTGAACTGGGCTGACCCTGGGAACTTGGATTTTAACCAACTCCCCAGGTGATCTTGATTCAGAGTTAAGTTTGAGGCCCACACCCTGGGATGTCCACTCCATCCCCACTCTTTTCCTTCCTGTTCCCCTTGCCCTAGAGAGCAAAGTCACCCTCCTCTCTGCAGTGAGGTCAAGGAGCCAACATGTCTCTAGTTTGTTTCCTGCTAGTGGCTCACCAGCAAACAGTGAGATCACAAGAGCTGCCTATGTATCAAGGTCTCAGGGGCTCACAGGTATTATATCAATGTCATGGCACACAGTGTGAGATTTCCACCCCGAGCCATAAAGAGGAAGCTTGACAAGCTCAGAGGCTATGAAGGGTGGGCCACTTGGCCTTGGTAACCAGGAAAGTCAACAGGATTTGTTTTCATTTCAAGAAGAAATATCAAAATACAAGTTCTTTTCCACATGTAGTCTTGTTCCCTTTTGCAGGGTGGAGTAGGGTAGGGGGCGGATAGTAGGTGGTGAATAAAGCGGATTTAACACACTCAGTTCTAATCCCATGACCCTAAGTTCAGATAATTTTCTCTCAGCCTGATGTATGTACATCTGGATCATAGTACTATCCTTTGTAGACATCTAGAAAACACTCTTTTGATTCCAAGTTTCTTTTCCTTCATTACAGTTAGAACCACTGTTATACAAATGCCTTACATATGGATTTCCAAGAACCAAGGTAGAAAGGGTGAACTTTCTTTATTCTGGAGTAAAACAATAACTTTCTCACCATATTTTCCTTCCCCGTGTCCCTACTAACAAATATCCCTCAAAACAAAATAAAATAAACAAAACCTTCAACGACCCTCCACTTTCCATGTCAGTCCCTATAAAATAGCATAGATTGAGACCTTCTCTTACAGGATGTCAATTTAGTTCATGTTTGAAATGCATGTGGTTCTTCATAGCAAAAATGGGCAGGGCAGGGAGTCAGAGAAGAGAGAGATTAAAAGTAGGAGGATAGGCCAGGCGCGGCGATCTGGGAGGCCGAGACGGGAGGATCACGAAGTCAAGAGATGGGTACCTGGCCAACATGGTAAAACCCCGTCTCTACTAAAAAATACAAAAATTAGCTGGGTGTGGTGATGCGCTCCTGTAGTCCCAACTACTCGGGAGGCTGAGGCAGGAGAATTGCTTGAACTCGGGAGGCAGAGGTTGCAGTGAGCAGAGATCAAGCCACTGCACTCCAGCCTGACAACAGACCAAGACTCCATCCCAAAAAAGAAAAAAAAAAAAAAAGTAGGAGGATAATATGGAATGAGGAAGGGAACATATGAAACAATGAAAGAGAAATGGAGTATATGATCAGAGCTCTTTTTACCTTTACAAAGAATTGTGAGCCTAGTAGAGTCACTATAATAAAAGAACATTAATAATCATAAACCAGCAGTATGTGCCAGCTGCTGTGCTAAGGACTATATATAAATTAATTCACCTGCCAGGTGTGGTGGCTCACACCTGTAATCCCAGCATTTTGAGAGGCCAAGGCGGGCAGATCATGAGGTCAAGAGATTGAGACCATCCTGGCTAACATGGTGAAACCCTGTCTCTACTAAAAATACAAAAATTAGCTGGGAGTGGTGGCTCATACCTGTAGTCCCAGCTACTTGGGAGGCTGAGGCAGGAGAACAGCTTGAACCCAGGAGGCAGAGGTTGCAGTGAGCCGAAATCGCACCACTGCACTCCAGCCTGGTGCCTGGTGACAGATCAAGACTCCATCTCAAAAAATAATAACAATAATAATTCACCTAATCTTCACACCTATATCATGAGAAAAGTGTATTCTCATTATTCCCCTTTAGCAGATGAGAAAATCAAGGCTCAGAGAGGTTAAGTGTCTTGTCCACAACCACAGAGCTAGCAAGATTCAGAGCCAGGATGTGAACACAAGCAGCCCAACCCTTAACTCTTGTGCACAATGCCATGCCAATGTGATGGCACCGCAGGCCCCAGAGAGCTCATGTTGACCACCCAAGTCCTCTGGTGTCAAAATCAGTCATGCACTTCTGCAAATACCTTAGTGAGCTCCTGCATGGGATTAAACAAGATTGAATGATAAAGATCTCTGTAAAAACCTAAAGTGCTTCATAAATATGAAGGCTTATGACACCACTCTAGGCAAACAGCTAATCAAAACTAGAATCCAACAGCATCCAGAGTAACTGGGGCTTACTTTCTACAGCAGTGGTTCTCCATGTTTTATCTGTCTTAAAATACTCAAGAGATGGAAAGGTAATTAGTTGTTTGTTTTAAAAAAAAAAAAAAAAAAGTCCTAATCATAAAGTAAAAATATTAAAAAATTGAATATCACCAAAATGAAGGACTTACACTCATCAAAAGATGAATTTAATTATTGAATTACTTTTATTAAGAAAATGAAAAGGCAAATCAGAGAGAAGATATTTGTAATATCTATCTCCAAGACTCATATCCAGAATATGTAAAGAATGCCTACAAATAAATAAGAAAAAAATTAACAACCCAATACAACAAACACTTGAATAAACACTTCATAAAAGAGGACATCCAAATGGCCAATAAGGCTGAAAAATAGAGCATAAACTGATTACTTATCAGGGAAATGTGATTAAAACCACAATGAGATATAACAAGCACCCTCCTAAATAGAGGGCATTAGAAGGCCACCAATAACCAGTACTGGCAAAAATGTAGACCAACTGGGACT